AATATACATATCAAACTAACAGAAGTGTAAGGGAAGACGTCTTATTATTATTTTTTGTTTTAGTTTCAACAGTTTTAGTTTGAACTGATCAGTTTGAATGATCAGTTGAACTGACCGTGTCACGGCGGCCAGTTTCAACCGAGACTAGCCATCAGAGCAGAACAGCGTTACAGTGCACAAGAGTGTTGGTGCTGAACCAAAGTGCCAGTGCGCTGACAACTGGAGCTGACACATATAGAGTTACAAACTTTAAAAAAATACCCCTAAATAAGACGAAATCAGTTTGTACGAATTTTATAAAGGAGTGTTGTGAATTTTCGTGGCATAGAACTTCTTAGTAGCTTAGGCATACAACTTAATACTTTTTTTTGCTTACAGAAACCGTAATGAGAATATTTGCATTATATATAAGTAAGTAAAAGTTTTACTTTATGTCGATTTTGTGACTCGAACATTCGACAACCCAAACTGTTCAAGTGTCTTACAATTTGTTTAGCATTAGATTTTTGATGGGATGAACTTAAATTTAACATCGTACACATCTAACAACTAAAACAAATCGTTGAGTACTTGCAAATATCCGTATTTCCGACGCTCCGTCCTCATTAAACCACAAGCTTTAAAAGCCCTCGACCTCATTTCGAGCCTGAAAATTAGATCGGCTACGATCTCACCCGCAATTATCCCACTATACCACAATTGAAAGTTCTCCTCTGTTTCTAGCCTTCTGGTATCTGTTATTAAGGTTGCTGTTTTTATGACGTTGATCTTTTGACGTTGAAAAAGTTAAATATTTATATATTAATAACAATTTTGCGGTATTTCAAACGGTTTATCAGTGTTCACAACGGTCAACGAAGAGGTTGTGTCACTTGTGAACTTTTTTTTGCTAACTATCTCTATCCAAAGTAGCGAAAAGATCGGTACTAGCCTTTGAATACAGTGTTACATGTAAACATCATAATAATAACCTAAACTTTCCAACCAAGAATTTGTATTTATTCATAAACTTTAGCGGAAATCTTAGACTTGAGAAATGAAAGATATTTACAATAATAATGTCCTCCAGACCGAATTTCGGCCACGACAGCCTGCCTCAACGGAGGCTAGCCATCTGCGCAGGACAGGATTATAGCGCCCAAGTGTATGCGCAAGCACAGGTGCACTCTCTATTCCCTCACTCTCATAATCCAATGGGACGGTAAACCGACACGACCAGAAAGAGATCAGGCGCAGGACCAACGGCTTTATGTGCTTTACGAGGCACGGGGGTGAGACACCGCCAACTTCCTGGCTCCGGGCAGCTACTGAGAATTTCTTGACGGAAAAACTCAATAATTGATTTTGTTAGCCCGACCCGGGATTCGAACCCAGGACCTCATGATCAGCGGTCGCACTACTACATCCACTAGACCAACGAGGCAGTCAGATAGATGTAAGATATTTAACTTTACTATGACAGTACATAAGTCGTGAGACGTGAAGAAAGTTTATCTGACGATGTTTTAACTGCAATGTCCCGTGTTCGGGACTCGAGACTCCCTATTTCTAATAGATATACTCGATAGTGACATAAGTGACCACGACATAATATAATAAGTGACAATTTAGGATTATTTTAATCTCTTGATAAATATCAAATAGAAAAAGACCACAGGTTTCAAAACAACCCTCAGCGATGTAAAACCGACAAAACACGTTAGAGATATTATTTTCTATTTTTTTTAATGTAGTGTTATCAAATATGCTGCGAGTTGTTACACGATCGAAAGTTAGGTTTATTAACATTGTAGTGAAGTAGTATTAGACTAGTAGAGCTCCTCTCCTACCAAATAGTTGGACTCACCGCTGTGTACAGGAATGAAACACCTTACCATTCACAAGCGTAGGGTTTTTTATAGGATAGGGTGACAAACGAGCACAAAGTTCACCTGATGGTCAGTGGTTGCTGTGGCCCATAGACATCTAAACTATCCTCGATTACGAATCAAAATGCGGATGCGTTGTCACCCGTGAGGACTACGATGGAATGCCTCGTTTTCAGTTAAAGTTTCCGTGGTGAGTGTAGAGGACCGGGTCTCCGGTTTTCTACACTCACCATACGAAATACAGCAGTATTAAGCCATTTTAGGCTCGTATTCTATGAGAGCGTGGTCCTTCCCCGGTCAAGCCGACCCATTCGTGCTACAACCATAATATAGCTGCAGTGTGGCTCTACCACGTACAAGGTGCACCTGATAATAAGCCGGCATTTCAGTGTCCTACAGTTGTCACTTTTCCAATACCCTTCAGACCGGAATATGGCGGTTCTCGCACTGCCATTTGGCGGCGGAAAATAAGTAAGAGGTGGATATATGGGCAGAAAAGGATATCTCCCACCTAGAATAGAATAGAAGAAACATAGAATAAAATAGAATAAATTTATTTGCAACTTTACAAATTGCAAAAATTTGGAATGAGATGGTGTTACAATTATATTAATCTAGTATTAATAATTAATCTTCATTAATTTTTCATTCATCACACCCATTCAAAGTCAATTTCTAAACTAGGCCTTTCACATAGATGCCACGATTTGGAGACGGATTTAAAATCTTCGACAAAAAAGATCTCTAAGAAATTATAAACGTAGATTTATGCATAGTTATGAAATGCAGTATAGTAGCTGTATACAGACGTAAAAATCAAGTCAATTCTACGATTAGGATTTTTGAGAACTTTCGTCATTAAATAGGTAACCTTTCTTACCCATGTAGTAGAACTTTGTTTTAAGATTATCAAATGTGAGTATAATTTTTAAGCGTTATTTTAATAATCTGTTATTCATTATTTTGTGTTAACTCTTATTGATCATTCCTTATTAGTAAACGTGAAAAGGAATCGCAGGAAAACATCTAAAAATTATGAATTCTGATAATAAAATTTTTAAATAAAAATCAGATTAGACCTTTTTTAACGTCTATTATACATTCTGTCAATAATGGCAAGAATAATCTAATGTAATTTCTACAACACTACAGGTACACAGTATGTTGCTTCTGAGCTAGGTCTCTACCTAGCAAAACACTAATTATTATTTTGGTTCATAGATCGATGCAAAATCAGATTCCTTGTGCGAAGAAAAATTGGTAAAAATATACCTTCTAAAGTACTCACCTTTCCTCTTCTTGTCATTTTTAATGGTCAAATATGAAAACACCATAGGTAGTAGGTAGTAACAAGTAGGTAGTCCGATAACTTACCTTTCAAAGATATTTTATAGGTCTTAACTTTAATGCATAAAAGGCCCATTAGTGGGTCTAGCTTTACTGTGATAAAAGATAAACATAAATATGTACAGTAGCTCAAGAACGCATAGCAAACCGAGTAGACTAACTTCTACTCATAGCAAGTAGGTACCTTTTAAGCATTGAGTTTGTACTACTACGTATAGTCATATACTCATATAGTTCAATGTTTTTAAGTTGTATTTGCGTGTGGACGACCCGTGAACCGTTTGTCCGTCCGTGAGGCCGTCACACGAGCCTTACCGCCATGTTAACAATCTGGTTGTTGACAATATTATATTGACAGATATCTAATCATTAAAATAGACAAAATAGCAACTGTTTACAAACACTACAACCATGCGGTTGCCAGTATATTGGACGAGTTTATCAGCCACATATTGTTTATATATTAAAGTTTTTACATAGCCTATTGATGCGTAGCGCAAAGACGTACGTATAATACGTGTACGATATTCGTTTGACTTTGGCCTCAAGTCCGATAACCTCCGCAACCAGGCCGTTGAAACAAGTTATTAGCGGCCTAATTCCCCGTTGCTGCTCTTGCCCGTTCGCAATTGGTAGTATTATAACATTAATACACGTGATATTGCGGCAAGCGGCCTACAGGTTACGTAGACAAAACGTGGAGTAGGTAGGTACAGTGACCAAACGGTGACTCTACAACAAAAACTCAAACGTAAAGAGTAGACAGGTTCAAAAGAGCAATGCCATTCTTATATTATATTAGCGATCTGCGCCTGCTTCCCACAGGTGATATCTGGATTATATAACAGCGCCACCTCCGGTAGGTCCAACTACGCCTATAACTTTCTCGGAAATGCGAGCAATATGTTTTCAAAGTTTTACTGCAATTTGATGAACGGTACGACAGCGCATAAAATACGAACAAACAAATTTTAATTTATATACACTAGATATAAACTTAAGTTTAAATTAAAAGATTAAACAAACAAATAAAATTATATCACGACTCTTTTAAGAGCATTTCATAGGTATATTAGACCTATGCCCAGATGTGGACTGCCGCAGGCTGATGATAATGATGATGATGATAATGATGTTTTAACGTTATTTCATTTTAATAGACTGAGTATATTATGAAAACGTTAACAGTATTATTTTGGTTTAAAGAACTCTGTTTTTACGCCGTCTGCCACTATCTGATTACTTTTTATTTCCAATTTTTTAATATAACTAAATAATTCGTAAAAATGACAAATGATTAGCGGATTTGTTTTATGCAAATAAGGGAAAGGGCTTATTAATCTACATCCATTACTTTAGTTTCAATATTTTTTGTTTTTATATAAGTAATTGTTTAGTATAATGTAAGTCTTTAGAATTACATTAAAGTATGCCACCCATCACTTATTTTATTATTGCCTAAATAATAAAATAAAAATAACAACGGTAGTAAGTATAAAAATGAATGGGAAGTGTATGTGTTGAAAAGGTTCACAGAATTAAAACACATGGAATGCGGCACGGAGCGCGCGATGCGACGCGAGAGGGGTACGACGCGACGCGGGGAAGTGCGGCGCGACGGAAGCGGGACGATCAGGCGAGGCCAGAATAGACGCAGGCGGGGAGAGCGGTGCGACGCGGGGAGGGCGCGGCGCGACACGATTACAACATTCACCAGCCAGTAACCGCGTATCGTTCTTAGCGTCGTCGTATTACATTTATGTTAGCGATTACACAAAATAAAATATGTCTGCCGAGATTACGTTGGTTCAGGAGATACAAAAATATCCATGTCTCTACAATAATAACTTGCCAGAGTATAATCGTAAGGATTTAACAGAGGAGGCATGGGCCGAAGTCGCGCACAACAACAACCTTACAGGTATGTCACGATATTAACTTTAAAAGTGATGCATGCAATTAGAACCTTTAAAGCTAAAGTTATAAAAGTTATTTACGTTTTAGCAGTAGAATGGGTAACTACCTGCACATGTCATTTTATAGTTTGTTAGTAATTCATAACATTATGACAATTTTACCAAACCAATACCTATGATTAAATTTACAAAACTACTAGGCATAAAACCATTAACTTTAAAGTTACAATGCTACATAAAATACTATTGATAAAACTAACGCTCGCCAAGTAACTAATGCGATGCGTTCTTCTGATACAATGGCAACGTTGCTTACTTTTTCAGAAGATGGCGCTACGGTATACTTAATATGAAACTATTGTACGTATATATTTAATTTCTAATGCTCTATTTTTATTTATTAGTTAGTATTTTAACGTCTTGTTATATTTTAATTAAACAATACGCACGAGTGTATAAAAGTTGTCGAGAAACTCATTTGAATTTCTTTGCTGGGTTATGCTATGGCTTAGTATTTGAAATCTAATAATATACCTAATAATGTTTTTTGTTATAGGTAATACCTATATTCTAGAGCCGCTGCAGCTATAGGTATTATGGTTGTATAGCATGAATGGTTCGGCTCAACTGGGGAAGGACCACGCTCTCACAGAATACCAGCGTAAATAAAATAGCATCTTAATGATGTGTTTCGTATAATGTGCGTGAAGTAAAGAACCAGAGAGCCTTTTTACTGGAAACGAACCATACCGTATTAGTCATGATCAATTTATAAATTTCTAAGTTTAATAATTGGTTTAATTTCTAAATGTTATTTAATTATTTTGACTATTTCCATAACATAATGTCTTATAGTATTAAAAAGTAAGCTGTGGGGGAACGTTAGTGATACCGAAATTATATTTGTTTTGCAGAAGAGAAACACAAGAGCAATAAAGTTTTTTAAAACCTAAGTCCTTACGACAAAAATATAAGAAAATTAGTGAGTATATTACTTTGGCTCTCAATACATTTATACATGGTAGAGCCATGCTGAAGTTACATTGGTAGTATAGTTGTAGCACGAAGGGGTCGGTTTGACCGGGGAAGGATCAAGCTCTCACAATACCAACATAAAATAGTAGCTTAATTAACGCTGCTATGTTTCGTATGGTGAGTGTAGAGAATCGGAAACCCTTTGTACTGGAAACGAGGTATTTCATCTTAGTCCTCACGGATGACAACGCGTCTGCATTTTAATTTGTAATCGAGGATAGATGTAAAGGTCTTAAGGCCACAACAACCATTTACCATCAGGTGGACTGTGTGCTCGTTTATCACGCTCTCCTATAAAAAAGTTACAAAAATGTTCACAAAAAAGTTACAAGCATCAACAGCAATTAAAAAAAATGTGATATACATTAATAAATTAAATACTTCTATAAGTAAATACTTGGAAGACACAAGCTAGGATACCAATTACTCGATTTCACACTCAGTAATTCATTCTTGAGGCAATATTACGCTTTAACAACCAAACCCCGGAAATTATAAAAAAATATAAAGGATTATTATAATATTAAAGTATTCATGGATAATAACACCTGAGAACAAAGTGATTGTTACCAAGCTATTTTGAATATGATTTTTATGGTCAATTGTGCAGATAGTGCCTGATCTTGCACAATTAACCATGTAAACTTTTTTTAAAGTCCCGCTCGGTTTCTTGCTGCTAACTCTTAGGAAAAAAATATTTTTCGTATAAGCAAATGACACTATGAATGACTTTTCTATATTGGATAAAAAAATTATTTCCAGTAAGCGAGTGTAAAGAAAAATGGAGAAACATCCGATGTTCTTTTCTAAGAAGTTTGAAGCCTTCTGCGAAATACAAAAAGCCGTATTATTTGACTGCTTATCTACAGTTTGTTTTACCGTTTATGAAATCATTAAATAATTTAGAAATTGTTGAAGAATCTCAAGCAAACGAAACTCTTAAGAAAAATTCAACAAAAGATATTATGACAAGTACGGTAAAATCGGAGCCGGAGGAAGATTTTGAAGAGCTATCCGAAGGAGAACACACGAGTATGGAAATCCCTGTAACGATGGCTGAAACTATAAGTGCGGAGTCATTAATATCACGTCAACAGACAACGGCGTTTCGAAAACGCAGACGCCCTACCTCATTGCCAAAAACGTTCACAGATAAAAAAAATAAAAAAGCAAAATATAGTCAAGGGCAAATGTTAAAACTTGTTTCAGCCGATTCGAATCGAGGGAATAACAACGCGATGCGCTACTTCCTGTTAAGTCTTCTACCTGAATTTGAAACCATGTCCGATGAACAAATAAGACTTTTTAAAATCAAGGTTATGTTGCTTATTGATGAACTGAAAACGAATGATACACGGATAAGACAAAGTATTAACAATGGGAGTGACTCAGAACGTCTTCACAAACGCTTAATAAATTTGCTTTTAAGGAACCTTAAGAAATCTCCATGATGCTTAATTAAATTAATATTATTATGTGATTATTTAATAGATGTACAATATATTAGGTTTAACGACTGTAAATAGTTATTTTTAATACCTATACCTGTACTTAGACTTATTTTCCATATACTAAGCTGTTGTTGGGCCTATGTTCACATCCCAGCCAAAGAAAAAATTGTTCTTATTAATTGTTAGGAAAGTAATAATATTTATTGTAATCGTAATCGACAAACGACGATCTGACACTACGACGATCCATGACATCTGACACTATAAACCCTTCACAGGTAAATGTTCTTGATACTGAGGTTATTATTATCCATCAATTCCACCTTAGTCGCCTTTTTACGTTATAATTTTACGATTACAATAAGAAATGTTTACGAAAATGTATAGTGTTAGTGGGTGAAATAAAAGCGCTGTATCAAACAAAATTATTTATATTAATTTGCATGACAGCGCAAATACAGAAAAGTTAAATATAATATAAAGTTACAACGAGAGGCAAAGTTCTTCATGCGATAGATTTTGCGCGCCATTTTAATTTTTTTTTTCACAAAATGGCATAGAAAATTTTGTTTTAAAATTACAACAATCAGTGTATGTACTTTAAGAAGATATGCAATAATACATAGACACAGAATAAGATATGATATTTCAAGTGAATACAATCGGGTAAATACAATCATTAATATAATATTTATAGACTCATTCAAAACTTCATAACAATTTTAAAGCAATATAAATACATTTTCAAACATGATTAGAGTAAATCGAATACGCAACAAATAAAGAGGTTTGGCATTTTAAATATTTGGTCCCACCTTAATAAGTACTTTAAAATTATTTTGTATTACGAAATTAATATTTTTTTAAATGACATGATATGAAAGGGATTTAATGAAAATAGCAGCATTCGTGAAGATCTTTTTCGATTCAAAAACAAATGATATACATTTACGTTTCAACACTTTCCAAGCTCTTCTTAATACACTTTTGAACATTGAAACATCGCACCGCTGGTTTTTTTTTTTTTTCAATTAAGCATCAAGACATAAACATTGTGGGTCTCTTTAGACTTACATATTTTAACTCTTTAGGACATTACGTCTTAAATTGTGCTGGCAAAAAACTGTTATTGCCATATTTTACATTAAACTTCAGGCGGTGGCTTAATTAGCTATAAGACTGCCGGGTTTTGATTTGTTATTTTTTATTTTCATTATTTTTATCTCGAACAAAGTCAAAGACTGAAAGTCGGTGTGTCGAAAAAAACGCCATCAGACATAAAACCGTTTTAAATAAAATGTTCGTTCAAATGCTTTTACACTGACGTAAACATTATTAGTCTCGCAAAGGAAAAAAATACTAAACAAGTTTTCAAATAGTAAGTAGTATAAAAATGTTTTATTTTTTTAAATTACACTTGCAATTTTTTTGTATTAATTCTGTAATGTAAAAAATACTTCGACCAGATTGTATTATAGCACCTGTTCCAAATATAATTTTATTGCCAACTAATATCGCCTCTTATTTTTTTATATTATTATCAATTTTAACACGACACTTAAGCCAATACGCGTATATCCTATCGAGCATTATTTTAAATATCACTGAATGCAACAGGATCTCTTATCATTCTGGCCGCTGGTCCGGACAAGTCTATTTAAATTGAGCTTCGGACTTCCACTAGCGCTGTCTCCGTCTCCCTTGGCACAGGTCTTAGTTCGCATGATCATGAGATCCGTGCGAATGCTCGGCCGCCGGACGTTCGGTGCGACCACACCGCACGCGTCCGACAGTCTTCTTTTTATTGAAAGTGTACATTTCTTACTTCTACTACCTTGGCTACTTGTAGGGGGTAAGGTACAGGGGCTCCCAAACGCAGTACTAACTCTTTTGTGGTGGTTTGGTGCCATTTCTAAGGGAAGATTTGCTACTACAAATAATTCATAGAAAAGGTCGTCGACACGATAATTCTTCTTTGCTGACGTTTCGACGAACACACAGGCCGAATCTTGGGTGGCGCAATAAGCCGTTGCTTCCTCCGGTTGTACAGTCCTGTATAATTTTTTAAATTGATTAATGCCCATTATCAAGACGGAAACCATTTCATAAATAAACTCATTTCTTTTTTAAAACAGCATTTTTATACAAATATAAAGACGCGACGCTAGAAAAATAATCTAAACTCTATCTATCCCTAACATAGAATACTATAATACATACATAATAGAACGAGGGAGTGGGCGGAGCCCGTGTAGCCACTAAAATGTCACTAACACGTCAATTCCCACGTATAAACGTCAACACGAGATGTGTTTTGACGTTACAATCGTTTCCAAATTACCCATGCAAATTATTAAGAAAATGCCAAATTGCACGCTATTTACAAATAAATATGTATTAAAATTTGTCTGTCAATACAGCGAATAGGGTTTGTAGTAGTGATAATACGACGTTATTACTTGTATGTGTCACAGACTACTAAGAGGATACTACGCATGTATGTGTGCTCCCGGCGACGCCTATCGTCGTATAAAATAAGGTTGACAGCCATTCTATTGTGTATTATAGTATTCTACGATCCCTAATCTAAATATTAAAGAGAAATCAGTGTTGTTTTCCATCTTTACCATTTCTGTTTTATAATCCGTAACTAAATATGGGACTCCATTCGATGATGGATTGTGCCTTCGTCATGCTTGGCAGGTATATTGGTGATCGCAATGCGTATCATCCAAGCTATTGTATGGTCCAAAACAGGGGTTCTCAAGGTTATGCGAGTCAGGTTACTACAAAAAATATATTGCATCCACATATTTATCGCACTTTACTATATTTACTATAGTTAAAAGGAGACTTACTTCAGATCTTTGTCACATTTGTTGCCCGCAATAGCCATGGGTACCCGAGGCACGTGCTTCCGTCCCCGACTGCTACCGCTGATCGCATTAGCTTTAGTCTCCAGGACCTGCTCTCGAAGGCGAATGACCTCTTCGAAAGATTCACGACTGTCCATTGCAAAAACCAAAACGAAGAGGTCGCCTGTCAAAATTTCAAAGGAATAAGCGAATTTTATAAGTTAATTGTGACAAAATATTGTACTCTTATACTTAAACGTGACTTCGTTCGTTTATTAAACCTGCAGATCTATAATGGTGTTCTTTGGACAAGTAGTTCAATTATCGCAAAACCACAAACTATTTTATACTCTTATATAATTTTATATTTCAAAAACTTATAATGATATGGGACATTTTTGGAAATAAAATTTGAAAACTCTACGTAAGAAAGGAGTTACCTTATCCTTTAACCAGTTTAAAAATGTTAAAAATCGATTTTAAATCAAAAGTTTTAAGAAATCGAAGATAATGTATAAAACCTTTTTTTTGTATAACATTGTAAACCAAAAGTTTTGTTTTATTTTTTATATCTCATTGTTAATGGAATACTCATTAAAAACCATTTATTTTATTAGTTTTGTAATCTCAAAGAAATCCATGTTTTCGGATAAAATATAGCCCTAAATTGCCTGGTATATATGCTGGTATTGCTCACTATCTGTAAGTGTAGTTTCAGCACAATTAATCCAGCAATTCCAAAGGTGGGCCCAGACCGGTAAACAGACAAAAATTTAAGAATGGTTATTAAATTTTTAATAGCATGCAAAAAATCTCATGAGCTTAGTTGAAGCCAGTTATATCGACATTACAATAAGACACATTAATATTATTTATATGTATGGATGTATAGATTACATATTTACAGTTTATTTTAAAAAAATTGTTTGAATGTTTTTGTATAATTTCAAAATACACATCATACACATTAATATACAACATATTTAAAACAAACGCAAAAAATATAGTTACATTACATATTATATTCTCCACACAGTAGTTTGCCAATAACGCTGGTAGTCAACACAACATAATAAAGGCATTGGCGTTATTATGTTGTGTGTAGTTGGTAATGGTGTTGTTGAAATGGCCAAGTTTAGTTCCGACTCGCTGTTATATAGCTGGGGTACAATGGGTAGCCTAGACCGGTTAAGGCCCACATTTGCACAGATTTCTCACCAGCTTGACAAAGCCACATAATGCTCCCGTGTTTCCTCAAAGTAAACCGGAGTTTGCTTTTAGTAGTAACAAAGCGTTCCATCTTTGTCCTCATGGGTGACATCTCATCCATTTTGATTTTAAATTGAAAATTTAAATAGCTACCTATAAGTGTCCATGGGTCACAGTATCAATTTACCATCAGGTGGACTGTGGCTCGTTTGTCACCTTTACTTCTATACATAATATAATCATTAGGAACGTAATAAAATACGAACGTAATACTAAAATGAAAATGTATAAAGCTCCCCAGGTCCTACAATTTTGTACAATCAAACAAATATATCAAGGTCCGACAATTGGTCTCGTGTATTGACAAACCAAATTTTTACGTCCGAGATAATTATGTACAAATCTGCAATGATAAATAAATTTGTACTTGCTATATGTTTTTTTCGTCTCTGTTTTTCGTCTGTTATAAATTGATCGAGGATTACTTCCTGGATATATTGAAATACTGTTTGGAAAACTTTGAAATAAAATTGAATATTCTTTTCCATAAAAGACTAACATAAAATTATTGCATGTAATGTTACGATTAGCTATTATTAAATACAGAAACGGATCATTCATTAGGTATCCTAGTTGTGTTGTAATTGCCCCCTATTCAAATACCTAATTTTATAATTATAGGTTATGACTTATGAGCGACTATGGGCTTATTAATAATTTTATAATGCCTTTGCCTCAGCACTCGTCACACATCTCGACCCATTTCTAAATTCGAAATCGAATAACGAAAGTTCAACAGAAAAACTTTGTCCATGCAAATTTATTCGATTCCCACCATTTAACGTCGTCTTTCTTAATTTAAATTTTATAGAAAGACTTCTACTGAATCGACTGAATATTTTCGGTTCGTTGAATGTGAAATAAATTTAAGTTTAT